CGTCCACCACTTCTTGATCTAAATTTCTTGGAATAAAACCTGCCCCAATCCCTTGAATTTTGTGAGGGCCTGCAATTTTAAATTGCAGTAAACTAGAAGAAGGCTTCAAAACATGAAAATGAATGTTGCAAAAATCCCGCCTAGGCACCGATTAATCGGCGCCTAGACGCTAGGCGCGCTGGCCGGCCACCTAGCGTACCACCTAGGCACCGACTAGGTCGCCTAGTCAACCGATTAGCTATTGTTCCCTTCTTTTTTAAATGGGTTATTTCACTCAAAACGACATCGTTTTGAGCAAAATAACCCTAAATTGTCCAAACTATAGATGTTTTTTAGGTTAATATTTAATATTTCAGTATTATCTATTAAAGTCGACCTAGTCGGCCGATTAGCTATTGTTCCCTTCTTTTTTAAATAAGTTATTTCACTCAAAACGACATCGTTTTTGAACGAAATAATGCTAAATTGTTCAAACTCTAGATATTTTTTAGGTTAATATTTAATATTTTAGTATTATCTATTAAAGTATTAAATAGTTTATAATTATCAAGTCTTAAAAAAAATTTTAAAAAAAAATAAACAAATTTTTTTTAAAAATAAAATAAAAAATACACAGGTGCCTAGGCTGATTAATCGCCGCCTAGGCGCCAGGTGCCCCCGAGCGCCCGAGGAACGCCTAGCGATTTTTTCAACCATGATGAAAATGAATGTAGACATTTTAGTGTCATCTCACCAGGCTTTCCACCGGATAATACGTTGCTTTCTGTTGGCTCCACGCCAATGATCTGATAAAACCCACAACAAACAGAACAAGTAAATAACACTGCGACAGACAGATACATAGTATTGACAGCACAATTTCGGATGTTATTTTGCAACATTCATGTGTTCAATGTTCCTGGGGTTTCCGATTGTTTAACTCTCACATAGAATAAATTTCAATCATCAAGAACATAGATGAAAAGAACGCTACCTGAATGTTAGGGTTTTGGTCCTTGAGAAATCGCCCTGCACCAGAAATGGTTCCACCAGTACCAATACCTGCAACAAGTATGTCCAACTTTCCTTTCGTATCTTCCCAGATCTCCGGGCCAGTTGTTTCATAGTGTATCTACACCAAAAAGAATTAATAAAATCTTAATAGGGAACAAGGAAATCTTGATGAATCTAGTTCCATTTTAGACCACTCTGAAATATTTGGTATAGTCGTGTTTAGAATTCTAAAAAGTCAATCTTCTGTAAAAGCAAGCAAGTATGAAATAGCAGCGACTATGAGATAGAAGAAAAACCTTAGGATTTGCAGGATTGTCGAATTGTTGAAGCATATAGGCATTGGGTGTTTTATTCACTATCTCTTCAGCTTTTTGAACAGCGCCTTTCATTCCCGTGGCTGGATCCGTCACAATCAGATCAGCACCAAAAGCTTTCAGAAGAACCCTTCTTTCAAGACTCATCGATGCAGGCATCGTTAAAATGAGTTTGTATCCTCTAGAAGCAGCAATAAAGGCCAGTCCAATGCCAGTGTTACCACTCGTAGGTTCCACCAAGACAGTCTAGACACGAAGAGAATAATAATATTGGAAATCGAAAAGAGGTCAGAGATACGAATCATTATCATAACAATTGAAGCATGTGCCCCATCTCAACTAAAAGCCTAAGCTGATAGTTGGATTGCACATTAATGGCTATATGCTCAACAATAACAAATAAGTCGCAAATATGTTATGAAATCAGGCAAGTGTTTTGGCATTTCCGAGACATTTTGCTTAGATACATTACCTTCCCTGGGGAGATAAGCCCCTTCTCCTCGGCATCAGCTATCATACTGAATCCTATCCTGAAGCCAAACAAGATCTCGTAAGCATTACTAGAAGAAATCACAAGTCAAGATAGTTTTAAATTCTCACACATTTTTTAACACAAAGCAAACGAGAAACTCTCACCTGTCCTTGACACTGCAACACGGCTCCATAATCTCAAGTTTGGCAGCAATATTTGCAACACAACCTTTTACAATAGTATTCAAGAACACCATTGGTGTGTTCCCTATAAGCTGCGCAAGGGTTATTACAGAAAATAAATCACATCATACTCCAGAATAAATGTAGAAATAATTAAACTCAGAAAACAGATATACTAGAGTCTCATATGAGAGAAAATGGCATGAAAGAAAGGAAATAAACTACAAAATAAAGTTTCAATGAACTTATAATAAGGCATTGTGAACATACAACATCTGGGGCATACCATTTACTGTAAAATTCCATTCTAATGAAGATGCTACTTTAAAGTCAACTATAATCATTCATACTTTCTTCAACGGAAAACAATCAAATTAATACATCAAAAATCTCCCAGACGAATCAAACTAAGGCTTATAAAGGTTGAAACTTTAGCTAAATGGGAACAGATAAAAAGAATCAAGTTATCAAGATAAACATTTCTAATTAATTTCAGACTGAAAATTATAGCTTTATCATATTTAACCTAAAACAAACACAACCCAGATAACAAATTAACAATTTCGAAACTAAAAGAGATGGATAAAATTTCACCGAGTCAGTGCGACACAGACCTGAGTAACATCCTCGGCGATGTTGAGTCCATCGATATGGGTAGTCGACGATGAGGGCTGCTTCACAGACACGGCTTTGCAGGAAATCGCGGGGAAAGAAGCCTTTTTGACACTGAAATACTGGGCACCCAGACGACATCGTCTGAAGAAATTAGGTTCGGGGCAGAGGTCGGGCTTGGCGGTGGCGTTGAAAGAGTTGCAGAGAGAAAAGGGTTTGTTGATGAGAGAAGCCATTGATTCTCTCTCTATCTATCTCTCTCTTTCCAGATTCAGAGCGGCGAGACTATCAAAAGCTTCACTGGTTTTATCTTCGCGTTTCAGTTTTGGATTTTTATCGAAAGGGTATCTGTCTAGTGATGATGGATATGGAAAGCTCGAAACAAATAAGCCACTGATTTTTTTCTTTTCATTTTTCTCTTTTTGTTTTTTTCCTTTTTTCTTTTATTTTTGTGGTGCAAAGCTACAAAAGGGGATTTGAATGTCCTAGGACGATGTTTGTTATTTTTTGGTCAATCAAATTTTTAGAAAAGAAATAATTATCGAAAATATATTTGTTAGAAATATTTTTGATGAGAAAATTAATTAAAGAGCTAATACCTAAAATTGTCCTTGATTATAATGATTTTTATTAATTTTGTTCTAAACGGCTTTAGTGTTATAAAGTAGTCCCAGACTTTTGTGTTATTGCTCAATATTGTCCTCCATTAGGTAATTCGTTAAAAGTGTGTTAAGTACATAGATAATTTAGTAATTTCAAATGAGTTAGTACCTAAAATTATCCTTTACTATAGTGGTTTTTCTCAATTTTGTCTTAAATGACTTTGGTTAGTTTGGTATCATAAACTACTCCCAGAATTTTGTATTATTACTCAATATTGTCCTCCGCTAGGTAATCTATCAAAAGGGGTTAAGTACAGTGATAAATTAGTGATTTCAAATTGAGGTCTTCCATGCCCTTATCGAAGGAGGATCTAGAGCCGAAAAACCGTTGGGCTCGCTGCCCGCGGAAGCGGGAAGGTGTGGGCGTGGCGGAGAACGAGGAGATGGATGAGGAGGAGGAGGAGAAAGACGGTGAGAGTAGAGTGACGGCGTGACGGCGGCTGATTTGGTTCTTCGGAGACTCACCTTAGTGAGCAAAGCTCATAGAAGAATGGATTCTGAGAGCACTTTTTTCTCCATGGTCGGAGCTTCGGGCGCCGTCATTTTAGGATTGCAGTAGTAAGAAGGAGAAAGAATGAGCGGAGGGCAGAGCGCGGCACCGTCGTTGGCGAATCTGTGATTGGGAGTTCTTGGCTGCGACTCATAGACAAATGGCACGGAAACATCCCCGTAGTAAACTCTGAAAGAGGAACGATTCGAAGACCAAAATTTGAAATTACTAATTTATCACTGTACTTAACACCATTTTGACGAATTATCTAACAGAAGACAATATTGAGCAATAACACAAAAGTATGGGACTAGTTTATGACATCAAAGTTTTAGGACAAAATTGAAAAAATCCACTATAGTCGAGGACAATTTTAAGTAGTAACTCATTTGGAATTACTAAATTATCCATGTACTTAACACCCTTTTTAATGGATTACCTAACAGAGGGCAATATTGAGCAATCACACAAAAGTCTGGGACTACTTTATGACATCAAAGTCGTTTAGGACAAATTGAGAAAAACCATTATAGTCGAGGATAATTTTGAGTATTAACTCTTTAAACTATTCTTTATTACCAAAGGTTAATCTTTTGCAAAACATGGGATTTTCCATGTCAGTTTAAGAGGGTAAATGAGAGGCAAATATTGTAACTATCAAATGGTCTATCTATTTAACACTAATTTAACTGAATAACAAGCAAAGAACTACATTGAGTAAAAATTCACAAGTCTGGGATAACATTGGGTCCCAAAAATTATTTAGGATAAAATCGAGCAAAATTACAAATAATTGAGGATATTTTGGGTATTTATTTATTATTTTTTTACTATTAGTAAAGCTGTAAATATAGTAAAAGGATATCTATAAATACAACTAATATTATTATATTATTCATTACGGATGGATATACAATTTTTACTTAAGATTTTATTTTTGTTTAGTTAATAAGATTTTTTTCTTAATTGTAATTACGATTCTTTTATGTGGTTGAATATTGTTTTAACGATGTAGTCTCAAGAGATTAAATTATGAATTCACTTAAAAGCTTAATGTTATTTATTTTATACTGTACAAGAATTATTTTTCAATTAGTAACTACATTCTTTAAACTCATTCATAAAGTTTTGAATAACAAATTTTTATTAGAAAAATGGGACATTTGATGGAATTTTGTGTTTCCAATTTCTCTTTAATTTTGTTCTTCTAAATATGATTTTGCAACTGCTTTCGAATATTTAGAAAAGTATAATATAAAGAAGATTGCCCAAATCTTTGAAAATATAACGATTTCATTGACAATCCCTACATTATGGGTAAGGGAATAATAATTCTTATACACACAAAGAAAAGGTCAAATGACCCTCTACACCTCCAAAGGGCCAAACCAAAATGAATGGAATAATATGATATTACTCCATATACAAACTTAACAAATACCAACAACATATTCAAAACCATCAAAGCACAAATATATATAATTTGTACTTAGGGGTGCCATAATCAAAATATAAAGATATGATATGATATTTCAGGTCCATTTGAAATATCAGTAAAAGTAACAGTAACAGTTCATTGCTCTCATAAATTTTTATATCCATCCATTAAAATACTCATCGCTTGACGTGATTGGAACGATAGACTCTTTTTATCTTTCTCTTGGACCCGGAGTTAGATTTGAAATATCAATAACTGTAACAGTTCATGGCTCTCATTCTCCCGAGCCTGGAGTTAGACTTGGAAAGGCCATGGCCAATCCTTCAAGTCCTCATCTTGAACTTTGGCACTACTTCTAATAGTTGCATTTCTTGCCCCACTATCATTATTTCCCCCCACAAAGGCATGGTATCTCAACACAAAAGCCAAAAGCAAAACCACCCACTCCAAGCAAAAGATCATGGCGCACAACCCTCCGGCCAATTTCAAGATCAGAGCTCCGTCGTCCTCCCTAACGTAGGACTTGAGCTCCGTCAAGAAGTCGGAGGTGCGGGTGAAGATGAGCACCGACACGGCCCCCTGGAAGATGGCGGTGAGCACCGTGGCCACCATGTGCGCCCCGTACCACCGCCCGGACGACTTGGCGGAGGCGGCCGCGGCGCAGCAGCCGGAGACTGCGCCGGCGACGGTGAGGGCGTGGAGGAGGATGAAGAACGCGCCGCAGAGGGAGGGGACGAGGCGGAGGGCGAGGGCGAGGAAAGCGCAGCTGGTGGCGCCGCCTATCAGCACGTAGTTGGCTAAGAGGAAGACTTGGTGGGTGCGGCGGTGAGATTTTGATCTTGAATCGTCGATTGAGAGACCCATTTGGGATTCAAAGCCTGAGAGAATTACTGGGTTTTGGTGTTTGATCAGAGGAAGAACGGGAAACTGAAGATCTTTAGGAACTGGGTTTAGTTTCTAGATCGATCTTTGATCAAATAGAGAAGAGGGAATTGGAAATCTTTTTGGAATAGGTTTTGAGAACTTTAATTTGCATGACTGATAAAATGGAGCGAGGACGATGGGTATTTCAAGCGTACGAGGAATCAATATTTGAACGTTGAGGATAATTAACGGCTACTTCAGTGATTTGATTAACGGCTAGTATATTAGTTGTCCCAACCCTCAAGCAAATCTCAGATCTAACTATCTAACGTAGCTAACTTTTTTTTTTTTTTTTTTTTTAATGTTACTGACCCTATTACAATGTAGTATCCGTTTATAATTACTTTTTCGACCTACTGAAACATAAAGAGTCAATATAGGCTCAAATCCACACACTCCTATATGGGAGTGCAACCTTGGTGCCACACTTTTCTTTTCTTTTTACTGTTTTTTATTTTATTTTTACAAACGATGAAATCGCCCATCCAAGAGGTAAAATCATGATGACTTAACTCACCAACACTGCGCACAAAGAATTCCTTGATTTTTGAAAAATCGCTCCTACATTGCCATTAAGAGCATCCACAATAGTTTAAGTTTTTTTTTTTTTTTTTTTTTTTTTTTTTTTTTTTTTTTTTTGTGATTTTTTATGTGCCAAATAGGAGAGATAATAGAGAAAGGAAAACAAAAAAAGATGAAAAAGAACTGACACTAAAAAAAACAAAGGCTTAATGAGCCCAACTTGGCATGCATTGGTGTGCACGAAACGCACACAGTTTCATTATTTCTTGTTCGTGGCAAATTAATGAGTAAATACTCAAAATGGCCGTTCGACTATAGCTAAATTCACAAATTGGTCTTTAACTTTCAATTTCAACAAATTAAGTCTTTAACTTTGCAATTTTGACACGATTTGGTCCTCCATCTATTTGACCATTTGTTGACCGTGATCGACGATCTCCAGAAGAACCTTCAACTCTCGTCGGAGCACGTGGAGACCTCCAGGATGACGTTGCACCAGTTCGGAAACACATCGTATTCTTCGCTCTGGTACGAACTCAACTACATTGAATCTAAATGGAGGATGAAGAAAGGTGACCGGATTTGGTAGATTGCTTTCGGTAGTGGATTCAAATGTAACATTGCGGTCTGGAAATGCAACCGGAACCTTAAAAACCCGACGATGGACCATGAAATTACATATATATCCTCAAAAATCACAGTCAACAAATGGTCAAATAGACAGAGGACCAAATTGTGTTAAAATTGCAAAGTTAAGGACTTAATTGGTTGAAATTGAAAGTCGAGAACCAATTTGTGAATTTAGCTATAGTCGAGAGACCATTTTGAGTATTTACTCCAAAATAATTTCTCTCTCTCTTGCCTTCTTTATCCTCCATATTAGCATGCACTGTTCCAAAAATCACAAAATATCCATAAAATATAACAAATGTAGTATATTTATTTATAAAGCTCAAACTCAACTCAGATCAATTGCCTTGAATAGAGCTCAAGTAGTTCTAACTAACTAAATATATATATGAAAAATCTAATAGATGATTAAATGTAAAAATTTTAGTAAAATTATAAAAATAAATGTGATCAAACTAAAAGTTAAGAATTAAGAACACTATGAGATAACATCACAATAATAAATGTAAAAATACCAAGTTGTAAAAAGAAATTATAAATGTAATAACATCAGTACATCACAATAATCATAGAATTAAAAGTATTTTTTTTTTAATAATTTCGCTAAACCTACCAAGGGCACTAGGAGAAAGATTAATGTACAACTTTTTCCTTCCATTATCATTTTTAAGTTTTAATTAAATCTAATTTTGAGATATGACATATCTTTATACGGATAACACGTATTGTCAGAAGAAATAAATTCTTTGAAGATTGTGGACCACATTGGTTTCGTGGTGTAGTTGGTTATCACGTCAGTCTAACACACTGAAGGTCTCCGGTTCGAGTCCGGGCGAAGCCATTTCCGCTTTATACACAGCTTTTGCCTACATCTGCAAAACGGAAAGAGTTATCCTGTATACAAAATTTATTTGTGGCGCAAAGAATAAACAATTTATTAATGTATAGGTAAATTTTATCTTGAATTCCGAAAATATTTTATTTAAGCAATTTTCTTTTTAATTTTTAATTAATAATGTGCAATTCTAAAATAACTAGTATTATATAGTTTTTATTCTTTTATGAATTATTATATATGTATATATAATACATACTTTCAAAACATTTTACATGTATGACTCTTTAAAATGTAATATTATTTCTTTGGAAAACATTTTTAAAAACCTAAAAATTGATATTTTCCCTAATATAATCTGGACCAGATGTTTCGCCGATATGATGCAGGATGGTTAAAGGCTTCTAGAAGAAACTCTTGACAAATGACATTGCCAACAAGCTTAGCACCACGAAATGGAGCACATATATGGTTTTCAACAAACCTTGAGGCATGCGCGAAGCTAGCTGGGATTTGACGAAGGTTGGCAAACTACCTTCAATTCGGCCTCGCAACCTGGTGAATAAACAATTTATTAATGTATAGGTATATTTTATCTTGAATTTTGAAAATATTTTATTTAAGCAATTTTTTTATTTTTAATTAATAATGTGCAATTCTAAAATAATAACTAGTATTATATAGTTTTTATTCTTTTATGAATTATTATATATGTATATATAATACATACTTTCAAAACATTTTACATGTATGACTCTTTAAAATGTAATATTATTTCTTTGGAAAACATTTTTAAAAACCTAAAAATTGATATTTTCCCTAATATAATCTGGACCAGATGTTTCGCCGATATGATGCAGGATGGTTAAAGGCTTCTAGAAGAAACTCTTGACAAATGACATTGCCAACAAGCTTAGCACCACGAAATGGAGCACATATATGGTTTTCAACAAACCTTGAGGCATGCGCGAAGCTAGCTGGGATTTGACGAAGGTTGGCAAACTACCTTCAATTCGGCCTCGCAACCTGGTGAATAAACAATTTATTAATGTATAGGTATATTTTATCTTGAATTTTGAAAATATTTTATTTAAGCAATTTTTTTATTTTTAATTAATAATGTGCAATTCTAAAATAATAACTAGTATTATATAGTTTTTATTCTTTTATGAATTATATATGTATATATAATACATGCTTTCAAAACATTCTACATGTGTGACTCTTTAAAATGTAATATTATTTCCTTGGAAAACATTTTTAAAAACCTAAAAATTGATATTTTCCCCTAATATAATCTGGACCAGATGTTTCGCCGATATGATGCAGGATGGTTAAAGGCTTCTAGAAGAAACTCTTGACAAATGACGTCGGCAACAAGCTTAGCACCATGAAATGGAGCACATATATGGTTTTCAACAAACCTTGGGGCATGCACGAAGCCAGCTGAGATTTGACGAAGGTTGGCAAACTACCTTCAATTCGGCCTCGCAACCTGGTGGATATGAAAATGAAGAAATATCGAACTTCACGGGGCGGGGAGTCCCGACATTGACCAGAAAGCAATTCAATGTGGCTAACAAGGCAGAGCGATGAGATGAGGGGGCGTTTGTGAGGAAGTGGACTCCCACAAGTACGGCTTCGATAAGTCCGTACAAGGAAGCTCAATGTCAATCACATCACATAAATGACCAGTTATATCATAAAATTATAATAAGGGTAATTCGTACAAGGTACATCAATCACATACCATATTACCAAAATAGTAATGATAATTAACCAAGGAGAAGTAAATTCCACCACATTTTTTTTTAATTATAATAAGGGTAATTCGTACAATGTACCACATCAATCACATACCATATTACCAAAATAATAATGATAATTAATCAAGGGGAAGTAAATTCCACCACATTATTTTTTATTTTTTTGGATATATCCAGGGGTTTCACTATTGGACATAATGATGTGGGATAGCTGGCCTGGAGATTTAAGGCAAATCCATTCCCAAAACCAAGGATCAAACCTTCGACCTTTGGTTAAGGATGGATGAGTGCCTTCCACCCAACCATACCATCCAGGTTAAATTCCACCACATTATTATTAAGGCAAATTTGATCAAAAAAATATCATAGATTCTAATTACGATAAACATTGCAATCAAACAAAATGTACCAATTGTTAATCTTGGAGTACCCAAGAAAAAAAAAAAAAAAAAAAAAAAAACACACATGACTCTAAAATATTATACACGTAAGACATAAGATTTAATCATCAATTTAAATGAATTCCTCAATATGATTTCTAAAAAAAAAAATCATTAAAACGCATACAAGCATGCCTAATAATGATTTATATTATTACTAGTAGGTGCACCCGCGCGATGTGCGGCTATATATATAGTATGATATATATACAGTATAGAAAATAGAGTATTTGAACCAGAAATATTGTGAAATGAAAAACTTGTAATTTTATTAGACATGGATGAATTTAGTAATTTTATTAGACATTGTTGAATACTTCATTGTTGAAACAACGTGATGCATGGCTACCTATATAGTACATAGAATATTACGTATAATATAATAAGAATAAGAAACATAGTATTTAAAAAAATACTAAGTTTTAAATAATAAATTGTGGAATGTTATTATACATTATTGAAGACTTCGTTGTACACAACATTTTTAGTCGTACAAAGACATGGTACATTTTCCCCGCAAATCAAAATTTTCAAACCCCTGGGGTTACTAACTCTTGAAACAGCTATGTACAATTGTCCATGGTTAAAGACAGGGTTTTTCAACAACAACCCCACTTTAGCAAGCGTTTGTCCTTGACTTTTGTTGATTGTCATGACATAGGATAGCATCAAAGGGAATTGCTTTCGTTGAAATTTGAAAGGCAATCTTGGATCTGACGGTGTAAGTGACATTCTAGGAATCAATACTCTGGTTCCTACATTTGAACCGCACATGATCTGGCCTTCCAGCATGTGGTCAGCTAACCTTGTAACAATCAACCTTGTACCGTTGCATAATCCTAGTCTGTGATCAATATTTCGCAATAGCATAACAGGTGATCCAACTTTCAAAGTCAAAGCATGATTTGGTACTCGAGAACATCTCAAGGCATTCAAGAATTCTTCTTTGGCTCTCTCTCTTTTCCTTCTTTTACTTAAAATGCCTCAGCTCCTATTAGCTATATGAACTTTGCTAGACGGCCTAACCAGTCTCATCAGCTATATTTTTTGTCCATTTCGTTATTTTTTTGTCATATCGTTGTGGTATTTTGTGATGCATGTTAGTTTAACTTATCTGTTTTGGAAATGAATTATACATTGGTAGCATAATGCATTTGGGCAGTTTAATATACTTTTATCTGTATGTTATTTACATTCTGTAGTTCATGGATCTACGTTACCCTAATAATGTGCTATATAGACTTTAGCAATGGCTAAGTTGTTTTTACCTAAGTTTTTGCCTAACTGACAATTGGTTGAGGAATTTGCATGTGCAGTCCAAAAAAAAAGCTTTATTTATTATTTATTTATTTGCTAATGTGTTAAAGTCAATGTGGCTTATTTTTCAAAAATGAGATTGGAAATGTTTTCAAAGTCAGTATAATTTTTTAAAAAAAAATTTTTTAAAGATATTTTTTCAAAAATAAAGGATTGAGTGACATGGCAATTAATTAATCTTACTCTTTCAAATTGCCTTATCAATTAAGTGATTTATGTATAAAAAAACTATAAGTGCAATGCAAAGTTTTTTTTTTTAATAATGTTTTTTTTATCTGAGTAATCAAAGTTAAGTGTTTGATTTTATGCTTATAGTATTCCTGTCAATTGATTTTGTTAATTTTTTTCATGACTTTTTTCAGTGTTATTTTTTTTGAGTTATTGAGTTCAACTGTTTTTTTTTTTAATGTTTTATTGAATTAGTATAATGCATAATGTGTTATTTACATGCAAAGTCATGAAAATTCCCATGTACAAAAAATCCAACCAATAATTGCCCATGTATGAAGTGGCCTACTAACTTAATCCTAAAAAACTCCAACCAATATTTGCTTTTTAATTTGTGACGGCTTGATCATTTTTTTTAATGATAAATTTCATTGCATAAAACTTTTCACTAATATTTTCAATATTAAAAAAACAATAAAAGCTAGCCAAAAAAGAATTAAGTAATCATAAACACATATTAAATAAATAATAATAATTTATAACTTTTTAAGTCTTTAAATTATTTTTTTATTCTGAATTATAATTTTTTTTTTGAAACAAACTATTCTGAATTATAATTTATTACTTAATATATCCAGGTATTTATTTAAACACATCTTAAAATATTTTAACTATATATTTATCATTTAAATGAATACGGAAAAGGAAAAAAAGCAACGTAATGGTTTAAATTATTATTAAAAATTACACAACAAATGTAATATTATAACTCAATTCAATATGATAAAATATACATTTTTCAAAAAATAAAATAACAGTAAAAAATAAATATTTAATAAAAATTTCTTAACCTAATATTATATATATATATATATATATATATATATATATATATATATATATATATATATATATATATATATATAGAGAGAGAGAGAGAGAGAGAGAGAGCCCAAAACACTAAGTCCATACCCGACCCAACTACTCCCCATATAAATCCCAAACCCACCCGTCTCAACCCAAATTCCCCTCCCCCATTTCCCGTCGTCTTCTTCGCCTGTCTACCCAAAAACCCTCGCCCTGAACATAAATGGAAACCAAGCAAATTCTTTCACCACAAATCTCACTCCAAGAAAATCATGGCCCAAAATAGTACTGCTTGCAATTTTATCATTTCAACCTCTTAAACCCAGTACTGATTCAAACCCTTCTACGATAAACAGATCACCAAGAAATATAGTCTTCAATGGCCGTGCATGAAAGATCCTACACATTCAGGTAATTTTTTCTTAATTTTACAATATATAAAAGAAATTTTAACTATTTTCAGTTGATCTGGTAATTTTTTTGCTATGCATGTATATTTTTAGATTTAGGATCATTCAGATGAAGAGAATAATAATCTGATGCCTTATATTTTTATTTTTATTTTTATTTGTTCTAAATGATCCTAAATCACAGTTGCCATGAACTGTCAGTTGAACTGTAATTTCATCATATGAATTTTATTGAAATCAAATGATTTTATTCATATGAAATCAAATGATTTTATTTTTTCGGACAAGTTATTTGCAGACTTTTTTTTTTCTTGTTTAATGCATCAGTCGTGTAAGTTATATATATGGCATGAGTTCTATGAGCAATTCTCTTATTTAAATTGACTTAGTGAATTATTTTTCGTTGATTCAATTTGTGAACTATTTTTTCATGAGCTCTAGGTTTCAAGAGGCTGGTTAATTAATTTTTTTTTTTGAAGTTATTTATTTGGAAAAAAAAAAAAGATGGTATAAGAAATATGCCAAATACATAAATTTACTTATTTCAATCTTTATTTCAGTAATCAAAGATTTGTTGTGCTTCAAATCAACTACATGATTTTTATTTAATGTTCTTTGAATCCAATAGAAGACCAAAATCACTCAGATTTTTTTTAAAGAAAAATCACTGAGATTTATAAAGCAAAATTCTGTCTCTATACTATTTATATAAGTAGTACTTATTCGAATCTGCGAATCATTACACCTCTTATTCGAATCATTTTAAAGACAGTAGTCCCAAGTGTCTCTTATTCATTACACTAATCTCTACTAATTCGCAAAAATTCGGTCTCTATACTATTTATATAAGTAGTTAAAAATTTTCTCAAAAAATAAGAAATTATTTTCCTCTGTTGTCCTCCTGGGACTTCCGTTTATTCACTATTATTGTAGATCTGGTCAATTTCTTCATTTGCTTGGTTTCTTGGACTGCTATTTGGAGACTATTAAATTCTTCCAAACCCAGTGTTTTGAACTGTCAGTAGTCCTGTAGTGTTCAATCTGTGAAGTTGTATAAACCCGAATTCACCTGTTATATATACAACTATTTAGGTTTCCTGAGCTGTGTTTGGAATTGGAACAATTTCACATCTAATAATGATAGCTCACAGTAATCAAAGCCATAACATATCCAAATTTAAGACTATCAAATTATTTACTCTTGCAATCAAGTGGAGTCCCATTTTTGAAATCAAGTTGATTCCAATTTTCTAAATTTTTTTTTACCTAAATTGATTCCTATTTTGTTTTTGAAGATTGTTAAGTTTTTGATACAGTTGTCTTTAGCTTTTCAGTTATATATGTTTCATATTTATCAGTTACTTAGAATGTGAGATACATACATCTAGACACATTTTAACTCGCATTAGTGACTTATGAATTAGAATTTTTTTCAGTGAGATAAATAAAATCTGTAAAAGATTATATGCTATCTATATACATCTAGATACATTCTAAGTCCTATAGTTCTAGGAATCTGCCTTGAATCTGTCTTCAATTCATTGCACTGCCCCATCACAACAACATTACAGTCCTGAAACCATTGTTAAAACACATAGAAAAATATAGAATAATAGAAAGAAAAATATCATAAGAAAACATATAACAAAATATTTGGTATCAGAATAGGAATCACTTTACTTTAAGTGTCTTTAGAGTTTTAGAGGCCCAAAAAGTTTTAGTTCAAAAAATCCAATGCAAAATTTAAGTTTAATTTCTCCTTCTTCACATGATGATCAAATTAAAATACCTATGTTTTTGTTTGCAGTTATATAACCTGGACTATAATAGGTTAATTTGTTCTATATCATGAAGTGTCACACCTATAAAACATAATTTTACAAACAAAAAAATAATGGATTAGTATACTATACACCGTATTAGTAATAAGATTCCATAATTCATGTTATATGAACAATGGAGCCTTCTTTTGTACTGTTCAGTAGGTAGACTTCTTTTGTAATGTTTCCATTGGATATATTCTCTATGAAATAACAGGAGAAGAAATGTTTCAATAGGTAGAATCAATTGTTAGTAAGCATTTCATAAAACAATAAGATGCTGAAAAAAATAAAAAAAAACAGTTTTACCTCATCATCATGAAACAAACATTATAGACCCTTACTTGTTTGGCCACCTCTAACCACAAGATTAGAGAATAAAATGCAGGGAAAAACAAAGTATTACCGTCAAAATGGATTGGAAATCCATAAGTATTCAAAAAAAAATTGTAATTCTACACTAACCTAAATTTACTTTCAGCAGGTACATAGAAATCACCTACTTGCATGAAGTGTAACACCGGTAGAAAGTAGGTGATTTCTATGTACCTGCTGAAAGTAAATTTAGGTTAATTTACCTTGCATTTATACTATCAACATAATCTACAGTACTAACCTTTTGTAACAGTTATAGAGAAGGCATTTTTTGGTTTTTCTTGAAGAGAATTGCCTATACGATTCAGAAGCTGAGGTTGAAATAGTTGATATCAATCTACCTCTTTATATAGAGGTAGAATTCGAACAGGACTCAACCTAGAGAAACGAAGAGTCCTCATTGGAACAATGTCCTCATTTAAAGGCCTTTATTTTAAATTTTATTAATATCAGTTTGAATTTGTAATGTATAATGCTATTTATTATCAGATGATAAATGATGTAGTTTAGAATACCAAGAGTTCTTCATTTAATGAACTGCTTAGTAATCAATGACTGTAGCCTGGTTATATATGTAGTTTAGAATACGAAAAGTTTTGGCTTTATAAACGGCTAAGCCGAATCCCAATGGGGAATTTAATTATACAGGCCATTAAATAACATGCAATTATCTGTTATTATCAAAACGACGTAGTATCTATTGGGCGGGAAAATTTTTTTTCAAAAACTTCTTGCTTTATTATAGAGTTAGATTAGATTAGATAGATAAATTAGAAGTTAGATGAAAAGTTTTTTTTTTTTTTTTTAAAAAAAAAAAGGAAAACGTATCCAAAGTAATAAAAATGATGCTAGAATTATTATGGTTAATAATTCCCATTAATTAGCATATTACTATGGGCATTACCATTACCATGATTAAAACTGTTACTATTCGTGTCCATTCATGGTAGAAATATAAAATAAGCTATAAAGCTTACCATTACTGTTAAGCATAATAATGCTAGAATTAAGCTCATAATAAAGCTACATTTAATCTTAATTACCATTACCATTAACAATAAATCTAAATTCTAAAGTAATGGTAATATCAAAATAAAGACTTCCCAAAAATCCACAGAAACGGAAAGCCTCCACAGCAATGCAAGATTATACTTAGCATTATGATTTATGACAATATCTTTATAATTTTAAAGTTTTAATTAAATCTAATTTCGAGATATGACCATATCTTTATACTGATAACACTTATTGCAACGTTGAAATAAGTTCTTTGAAGATTGTGTACACGATTGGTTTCGTGGTGTAGTTGGTTATCACGTCAGTCTAACACACTGAAGGTCTCCGGTTCGAGTCCGGGCGAAGCCACTTACAGTATTTATTCCCAACTTTTGCCTACATCTAAAACGGAAACAGTTTTCCTGTATACAAAAGTTTATTTTTGGCGCAAAAAATAAACAATACATTAATGTATAGGTATATTTTATCTTAAAGATAATAGAATTATTAATGTTTTAAAATAAATGTTAAGTTTTAACCTTTTTATTATCCATTTATAATTTATTTATAACTTAAAAGGAAAATGATATTTTTCCCTAATAATTCACTTCATGATATAACTTAAAATTATTGGTGCTCATGACTTGGATGACTCTACCATTAGTTAAAAAGAAAATTAATTGTCCCATTAGAAAATGTCATCTAAGGAAAGAAAGATTGGAGAATGACGATGATGATGATTTTTGTTGGAGCTCGGAGCTAAACGGGAAATTCTCGGTTAGGTCTACGTACGCCATGATTGGAGCTGATTAAGTAAATAATTAATATAATATTTAAATATAAAAGTTAACCAATATAAAATAAAATTATTTATCTTCAATACAATCAAAATGTGTACTTTCAAATTGTGATAAAAGTATTAGTAAGGATGCGTATTGTTTTACATAGTCATGATCAAAAAATAAAAATCATGTCCTACAAATTTTCATATTAAAATAAATTAAGTCTTCTAAATGTGATTTTGATGACCATGTGTAAGTTGATAAAATTTAAATTTTTTGTTTATTTGTCAAAAGTGACATGATTATAATAAGTTTACTCATAATGTCGAAGAGTAATTAAAGAATTTTGCAATGAAGTTATATATATCATACAAATTGTATTCATAGGTTTTCATTGTGTATATGATTAAGACTTCATCAATTGGCATTATATGTGAATTACTCATCTTGCAAACTCTTATTGATATTTTCAAGAGTAAATACCAAAAATGGTCTCTCAACTATAGCTAAATTCACAAATTGGTCCCCGACTTTCAATTTTAACCAATTAAGTCCTTAACTTTGTAATTTTAACACGATTTAGTCCCCCGTCTATTTGACCATTTGTTTACCGTGATCTCTGAGGATATATATGTAATTTCACCGCCACCCGCCCTCATCCGCTGCCGTGACACAGTCTATCGCCCATATAACACCCCACTTTTCTTAACTTTTCGCTCTGGTACGAACTCAACTACATTGAATCCAAAGAGGGGATGAAGAAAGGCGACATGATTTGGCAGATTGCTATCGGCAGTGGGTTCAAATGTAACAGTGCAGTCTGGAAATGCAACCGGAACCTTAAAAAACTGACGATTGACCATGAAATTACATATATATTCTCAAAAATCACAGTCAACAAACTGTCAAATAGACGGAGGACCAAATCGTGTTAAAATTATAAAGTTAAGGGCTTAATTGGTTAAAATTAAAAGTCGAGGACCAATTTGTGAATTTAGCTATAGTCGAGGGACCATTTTTGAATATTTACTCTATTTTCAAATGCTAATTCTCCCCCCCCCCCCCCCCCCCCCTCCCTCCCTATAAGATTTTCATTATGTATATGATTAAGACTCCAATTGGCATTATATGTGAACTACTCATTTTGCAAACTCTTATTGATATTTTCAAATACTCATCTCCCCTATAAGATTTATTAAATAATGAAATTTTGCATTTAAATTCTTAAATTAGAGAAAAATTATGTTTAAATATACATTCTAATTAAAAAAATGATTTTGGAATTAAAAAAAAAAAAGAAAAAGAAGTAAAATCTGAATTACAATGTTTCATTTAAGTAAAGAGAAGACAATATAATGTACTCTAACGATAATTCTAGTATGACATTTATATTCTTTTTTAAATGATGATTCAACAAATAATATCTTTCACATTTTTATAATGGTTGAAAGCAAGAAATCAAATTAATTAAATATTATATTATATTTTAATTAAGGAATAAGGGTCAAATAGGCCATCGAACTACACATAATAATGCAATTAGGCCACTGAACTTTAAAAAACAATAATTGCGTCCCTAAACTAATCAATTTCATTCAATTAGTCCAATTTTCAGGTTACTAACAGAGTAACAGATCACCCAGTTTTTTTTTAATTGTTATTTAAAAAAAATATCGACTTGTACGAGCGTGCCCATCCATTTGTTGTTGCCGCCTCTTTCGAACTAGACTCTGCTGAGGATGGTGGCGACTGTTTGTCCGGCGAGGAAGAACACGGAGTAGCCCGATATTTCCAGCCACCGCCTGCCGTATCTTCTTAGCCAGCCGCCGGTTTCCGCATTCTGTGAAGGATTTTGTACTTTTATTGCTTCTTCTTGGACTGTAAAACAGCAAAAGGAAGATTATAAAATTATTGCTTATTCTTGGACTGTAAAACAGAAAAAGGAAGATTATAAAATTAAAAAAGGAATAACGCCACCGGCAATGGAGACGCCGGCGGAGACGTTTTTCCTCTTCTTCTTTTTTAAATAATAATTTTTTATAAAATATTTTAAATTTGGGGTGACCTGTTAATAAAATGAAAAAACTTGTAAATTTGACTAATTGAATGAAATTAGTTAGTTGAGGGACTCAATTGTTGCTTTTTTAGGTTCAGTTGCCTAATTGCATTATTTTATGCAGTTGAATGACCTATTTGACCCTTATTCCTTTAATTACTTTTTGCCACAAAGAAGAAAAGAGTTGAAATGGATAGAAAAAAATCATGAGTTTCTTTTGTATACACTAACTTTTTTGAAAGCAAAAACGAAATTTAGATTACTGCATAAAAGCTAAGACAAAATCTGGAGGGACAAGTCCCAATACAAAGAGATATCCTGCAAAAAGGCGACTATAACTATCGTGTGAACTAACTTATTAGAGTTTCTAGGAACTAATAAAACGGAGCAATGAGAAAATAGCGTAAAATACTTCTACAATCATTATTGGCTATTCCAACATATGACCGAAGCTCAGTGATTGGAGCTGTTAAATTGTGAAGTAGAGAAGAGCAATCACTGTATAGTAAAACTTGGTTGTTCTACGATCCTTCTACCATGACAAGGCTCCCTTGCATGCTAGGGTCTCCGCCATCAATAAACTCGAACAAGCTGGCAGCACTCCATTAATGGCTGCCAATACTCTCCAAATTTCATGCAATACAGCCACGGTGTCGGTCAACAAATCACACTCGATCATAATGGTTACAACAACAATAATATAATAATATAAAAACAAAATACATAGTATTATTATTATTATTGGTTGGAAAAATAATTTGTAATAAATGAAGCTAATAGTAATAATAAATCGAAAGAATATTTCATTATTAAAATTGGGAAAATGGCACTTTCTCCCCCTGTGTTATATATTTATAGCATTTTTTCCCCCTAAATTATTTAAGTGACAGTTTTTCCCCCTGATATATTAAATGGACATATTTACCCTTAAAATAAATATTTCATTTATTTTTCTTCTCCAACAAATTATAACCACGATTTGAAAAAATAAAATGCATTAATTGTTGAATTTTTTGAATACTTTAAAAATAAAAAAAAAATTAAAATAAAGTTTGAACCAACAGTTCAAATTGGATCCGAAATCATGAACCGACGATTCAAAATAGAAACCAAATCTCGATTATATATACTTATATGTGAGAGTCAATATAAATGCGAAAAAAAAAATACACTATTTGCAAATATTATAATTCTAATTTTAAGCTATTGCTAGTAGTTGTTCTGATTTGAATCTCCGATTCACGGTTCAGGAGCCATTTTTTTTCCAGTTGATGATTTTAATAAACGGAAACCCAAATATTGGGTTATGTTATGAATTATAACCGAAATTTTTTTATTTGATTGCTATAGTGTTACACATGATTACACCAGCACATTTTATATTCTCACCTTAACAATATTGTCTCTTATATAATTATTAGTATTAGTAGATGAACTTTAATTTATAATTTTATTTTAATATAAATAAAATTATTATCACCATTAAATAATTAATATTGTATAATAAATAAATTTTTGTTTATGTTTTTAAAAATAAAACAAATAGAAAATATAATCGTGTGAATTTTAACCAAGCAAAAAAAAAAAAACTATGAAGTAAAAATAATTTTCAAATGGGTGATCATAGGTTTAAAATTCAGTGGTAAAACTTAGATTCTTGAGTTTAAAAATATAAAATAAATACTACCTTATAAATAAT